GCTTAGAGAACATCAATTAATCAGGTTATATCTAGAGATTAACATACTCAGTATATTGTTTTCTGTACTTACAGTAACTCTAGGAGACGGGAGAGGTATTCTTGATACTGGACTACGAAGAAGGTAACTACTAGACATTCTCAAAAGTCAAGGGAACTTAGGGTAAACAAAGAAGATAACTTTGTGACTACACAAAGCAAAACAAATGAGTAACTGAGTTTTGTAGGTATTTCAAGGTCCATACATACATTATTTTACATCCTAGTTCTGTTAGTCATCAATGTTTATCCATAATTTATAATTGAGTTATCTATGCAGACTTGAGGGATTTTACAAATCACTGTACACCATTGTACTGTGAGATTGGAGGTACTCTTCAGAGTTATTAGAGAGATTAAAAAGGAGCAGAAAAACTTCGAGTCAATGTTTAATAAACATATAATATTATAATAAATAGTTTAATAAACGGTCATTAAAAGTTTATTTAAAGCATATATTGGGTCATATTGGAGCCGGAGCCTAAGACCTGAATATATCACAAATTAATCTTGTCCAGTGTTAAATATACCGACCATGTACACACACAGCACAGTGAAGAACAAACTACATTATAGAGTTCACTAACCAGAGTCCCATATATCCTACTACTTACTAGCCACATAATAGCGTTAAATAATATGTAACACTACAGACAGATAAATTGGAACAAAAGCTAAACGTGTTATGTACAATAGTCAATATATGGATATTGCAAGAACAGCAAGAAAGGCAGAGCGCTGTGCATTATGTAACCTGTGCTGAGTGTTGCGAGTTATATATAGGTAATTAAACCAATTAACCCAATTAACCAGCTCCACCGCTAGCAGAGTTAGGAGACACGGAACAGGGCCGGACCCAGGCTTGTCCCCGTGACGAATCAAATTTGGATGGGGTTCAGTGGAGACTGGAGAAGTAGAAACAAAGTTAACATGAAATATGTGAAATATGTTAGTATGTTGAATACACATCAAAAAAATATACATGTTGCCAGTGGGCGTGGGGAGGAATGAATAATGAGATTTTGTAATGCTCAATGTATTTTTTTCATTGTAACTTGGAGAATCTGTTCCGTGAATTTGAAATTTCGTTGTAAATACCAATTATTAAAGTATTAATATTGTAAACTGTGCATTCAATTTTCAAATGTTACCCATTATATTCAATGTATTTACCAATTGTGTGACACAACCACATGACACAACGCCACACGTTCCGGTAAATTCCATTAAACTGTTCTATTTTTGATCTCCTTCCAAGCTCTTGCAGACAGTAAATATGAGATGAAAATTGATTTAATATTCAAATGTATCACGTACATAGTTATATTGTTTCAAGTTATTAATTTTCCGCTCGCATCAAACTTTAACGTGCTGATGGCCTGATGCATGTCAATTGTTAGTTCATATTATCTGTAGAAGAATAAATCCAGATTTAGATCTCTTAAATCATCACAATATTATCAGGCTCGTGTTCGAGATTAACATCAGGAATTAGAGATTTGAGAGAGAGAGAGAGAGAGAGAGAGCAACAGGGGCTGGATACAACATCAGGAGATAGAATTACAATATACATGATTATACTAAAATTAGCTATATTACATACGTAATTACCCTACTTAATACGGTAATTAGTACACATAATCAGACAATAGACCAGTCATAAGCCGGTTATATGTACAGACAGGTATACAGTGTTAAGATTACACGACCTAGTCGGCACTATCTGGTCACTTCATAAGGGCTCCAAGTCAAGGTGTCAGCAAGTTGTGACCTCTACATTGGGGGATAGTATACTCACAATGTTTAACAAGGCCACACGAGCCACTTAATTAACTAACTCTTGAGTAGTATGTTAAGTGTAAGATTAAGTTATGTAGAATTACGTAAGTCACATTACATTATTCTAAAATACTATGTACTTGTCATAATAAAGCCCATGATTCGTAAAAAGTTTCACAATGAAGCTTATGATCTGGAAAAATCCTCAGTCGGCGTGGTTGTGCATGCTTTTGAGGTAGATAATATCATTCTCCAATCAATAATTGACTCAACTTCATCTGTATCGGTGTGGTATCTTCAAAGAGAGCACATTTAAAATCAGACAATATGTATCTATCTGTTTAAACAACCAGCCACCAACCTCATGACTTCTCGCGGCTGAGATCCGTGCTTTTAGTCCCGCCGGTATCAGACTGTAGCCATACTTCAGTCTCTTCTTGCTGTACATCCTCTCTTCAACACTTCCACTCAGAACAAGAAGTCCTAATTAGGGCTACCAAACACGGCTACTTAGCGGCTTTAATTTACAACAAGTACACTGGAAACAAACGAACAAGTGCAGATAGCAGTATTATACGGAAAAAGAGCAGGAGCGGAGAACGATGCTATGCATGAGCACTGTATGTGTACTAGTTTCGCAAGGACAACAACTTGCTTTCTCTTATTCTTGCTCAATATACACCATCTCTCCAGTGCTCTATGACACTATATATATACTTCTCTCTCTTTCAATACAATACGAGCTACTAAATAATAATCTGGTGTGACTTACTGCTTGTTTGCTAGTCACAACTATGGTCATTTGCATTCTTCTAGACGTTTAGAGCCTAGCCATACTTCCGATCTTGAAAGTTCACTAAATAGCACAGGTTTTAGGTGTTGTAGGTTATAGGTTCGTTTGAAGATGGGCCTCATTATGGTAGACACTTAGTCCAGGTCCTTGAAGTTATTGTCCAGAGACCAGGCCAGAACTATGACATTGATGGTAATTTCAGGAGCGTGAGAGATGATAATGCACGATTTCTCATTGTTTCCATCTCAATGAGTATAAACAATATGGTTTTATCAAGTTGTCATCGACTGGTGAGTACAGCAGCCGCTTTTTTACAAACCAGCCTTTTCAGAAACAATTTTAGCAGAAGCATGATATTTAGAACCTACCACCTCTCGCTTAGATGTATACTGTTAGACTAGCTACACTAATGTGAAATGTAGAGTTCCTCCAAGATGTACAGGTACTGGGTCTACTCTCTCAAACTCCTGACACTTGGACACTGGCCACTCACAAAAGGTATTATTCCCTGGCACGGGGTAGACTCTCTGAAGAACACTAAACCAACACAATAGCCTGCATTATTTAGCGACCCACATAGGATAGTATTCCTTTACTAGTACACAATACAGAATACAGTGTTATATTGGGTATATTATTAGGTACACCACTGTGTCCTGCCCAACACCGTGTAGTCACGTCACCGCTGGGCTTATTGTAACAGTGATGCCAGACTAACATAGGCCTAGGGTGGGTCAGGAGACAGAATTATACAACATAACACCAAGGTATTGGAGTTCAGCATAATATAAAGTCACTCGAGCTTTCTTGTATTTTCGATTTCAGTAAAATCATATAAGCACGAGGGCAAAACATCACATCAATACAACTGTCCCAATACAATTATTTCTGACAGATAATTTGCTACAATATTTTAAAACCTAAAGCAAAAATTTTGGACATATCTATGTGACATAATAGCTCTAAGGCACGAAATTTCCTACATTTTAAAATTTAACGCAAAAATTTGTTCACATAGTTTTAAGGCAGATAATTTGCAACATTTTAAAATTTGAAGCAAGTTTTTTGACTCAGTTCACAGTTACATCAGTGCACTTGTAATGTTAAAACTAACAGAAAATCCGATATCAGCTTCTACACTAATTTTCCGGGGTTTCAAGATAAACCTTACACTTTAGTCCTAGGTGTTGTCAAAGTTGTCATATATTATAGGCACTGACTTCATCTCGGCTATTTTATATACTAGATATTTGACACAGCAGTACACCACGAATCCCGTACCATTTAAAAGTGTACTTGTAGTCTATAACTACACCGTTATCACACATTAAATATGCAGACGAATATTTCGTGGTGCATATTTTGATACCTTATAAATTATTCTAAGGAAATGCGTGACCGATACATGGCATATCATAGGATTATTTGACACTTCATACGCTACTGCGCACATCCTAACATTTAATCATTATCTCTCTCTGGAACTTAATCATAATCAGCTAGTAGTGACGCTGGGACACGTACGAACATGTGCAGTGTAGAGTTGGTGAAGAACTATATGATACTATATAAGCTGATATTAATGATACACGGTCGCGGTGGACGGTCGGGTGGGTATAATAATAATATGATATCTTTGACTTTAGCTGCTAATAAGGCTCCTTGACCACACAGGATTACTTACTGGTAAACGAATGTACTTGTGCCAGTAACCGGTAAACACATGTACTTGTGCCAGTTATAACTGACTCTAAAGAAATGTATTCGTGCCAGATATAACTGATAAACAACCGTGGTGAGGACGTAATCGGTTGGGTTGATACGTGTCAAAATCTCACGTCTCCTGAGTCCTGTTAGATGACAAGATGTGTCAAACACAGACAGTGACAACCTTTGTTACACTCAAATATAGATTTAAGTAATCTATCAAATGAAGATTACCTGGTCACATCAACAACAGCAGCTGGCAATATATAACCAATATATTTTGATAACTTTACGTCCGGATATTTGGGTGGTTTGTTAATTACATGACACGACAGTAAATGACAGTGCAACTTGTCTGTGTCATAATTGTAATATGATGCACCAACATTGCTTAACCTCCCCACACCCTGGAGTAAATATTACCAATTTTTGGTGGATTATGGGCCAGATAAGAGATGAAGATATGAGGGACAAAGGGTAGGGATAGGGTCCAGGGAGTAAGGGATAAGATCAGGTGATAGTAAGCAGTTCTTAACTAGCCTCATTGAAATGAAGTTAAGCACACACTCACCAAAAATTTAACAAAAAACCTCCAATAATAGAGTAGGAATTAAGGTAAGAATAAGGGAGCCTATTTATCAATGTAAAATTCCATTATTACATACTCTTTTCTATAAACAAACCTCATCAGAAGGTACACGATCAGATAATCCATCAGAGTTAACTAGCCCTGCTTGGAACAGGTCATCAAACCTCTGTATTATCATCTTCTCTCTGATTTAAAATAAGTTTTAACTCAAATTGTGGGTGTCCATGATTATCTTAATCGGTTCGGTATTTGGCAGGCAAATATAAATTTAATATCACAGTCAACTGTGGCTCATAATTGGAATAGTTTCATTCATAGCAGATTATCCGCAGGTAAATGAGAAAAACAAAGAAGATAACTAACTTTTGGAAAGGAAGAGTTCTGCGCTTGAGAATATCATTCCTGATAGGTTCCCCAACAAGTTTATACACTTCACACAGTGTATCTACAGCCTGGTCCCTGACTGGGGCGCTATTGTCACTTGCTAGCTCCAGTATGGACGGGATTACTTTACTGATTGACAACTCCTTGTGTCCAAAACTGAGAAAATGTGGATATGTTAGACGATATAATATTCGATAATTTAGGCTACTCTAAAGTCTAAGTGCTAGATTAACTTATCACTAATTTTCCTCATCAAAACTTTTGGACAAAACACGTCATGTTAATTATTGTTTAGAGACTGTTTTGAAGATATCTTTAAATAGCACTAGAATGAATATCTTGAACAGTCAAATCGAACGAGAATTATGAAATATAAACATGAATTAGAAAGCACATACTTTTGCAGAGTCTCAGAAATGCAGAGTAACATTCCCTCCCTAACTTTAGCATTCTTATGATCCATTACCTTTGGCACTATTTCATCCAAAATCGTCTGAAAAGTGATCAATGAACGAATGAAGAAAAGAATACCCATGTCAACACATCTACTGATTGCTGCTGTATCTCACTCCCTGTAGCCAACTTCAATTGACAACATTATTCGCCATACTGTTCAACAACACTTATTATAGTCGCTATACTGATTCAAGTGTGGCAAACCTTTGGAGTTTTGACGTAGCTCATCAAAACTTGTATGAGAGAAGCTGCCTCTTTTCTTACAGAATCTTTAGTATCTCCTAATCTGTCTATTATAGCAGGAAGCACTGAGAATGGAATTTATGTTATGTGTAAGGAAATAGGCGGGTCACGTCTAAAATTTGATAAGATTATTAAGAAATAACGTGTGACCATGGAGAATGCACAGATAACGAATAATAAGTGAACAAGATGTGTGAACAGGGAATTAGGATGAAAAACGTCGAGTGTGGTGTCTTAAAATGAAAGATACCACGGCCACATTATATATAATACAAGAATCACAACTCGATCAATATAACAACGAAATTAACCACCGTTCCAGAATAAAATCAGACAAAACACATGGATTTAACACTTTTTCTTTTTACACAACCGATAACATTAGTTACCCGCATCTATCGTCACTTTGCCGTTTCCTCTTAAATCAATGAGATGGTTACAATTCTGGCTGTTTTGTCTCCACATGATCCTACAAAATGACAAAATCTCAGAAAATCTGTTCAAAACTTACAGGTACTGAGGGTTGGAGCTAAATCCTCGCCCATTCGGGTTGCGATCATGGTGATAGCCTTCAAAGCTACCAACGATATCTGAAAAACAACATCACAAAATTAAAAATAATAAACTTGCTTAGATCTACGAGTTTTACTTACTTACGGTCTACGTTTCACAGACGATACCTAACTCAGACAAACAATATCTAGTTCAAACTCATACGGTACACAGACGGTACACACTACACAGACGGTACACAGACGATACTGAGACGAGAAACGAACAGCTGGACACTTCAAGCAGTACTGTCGAGAGACTACAAACATTCACGAACTTGAGAGTTTAAACACCGCATACTATCTGTTTTCTTTTTAAGTAACACATCAGTACGGCAAACTATCCAAGTTCTTGTCAATAACGAAACTTGAAGCAATCACGTGAAAGAGGAGGAATTGTGCTCTAGATTTGGCAGAGTAACACGATCTCCCTAAAGGCGCCCTACTTCATTTATCAAGATTCTGCGAAGTTTCCCGACTTCCGCTTGATCAGGTGGTTGAAGGGGCGTGGTTTTAATGTTCATTGTTACTCATGTGTGTCAAACAAAAGAGTACTTTGATTGAATTTATCAGCTCCTTATCACTTCTGCCCACTGTGTGAAAGCAGTGCTTGTTGTTGGTTTTGACGGCCTCAGATCTTGACTCTTCTCATGCTGTGTGAGCGCTGTGAAGACGATGTGAGACTCGGATCTGGGTCCCGAAATAGCGCTGACATGTTGCGGGACTTCCATCTGTTTCACAACATTTTAACGGTAACACTGAAGGTGTCACTGGAGGTGACGTTGTCAGGGGGATTCAAATTAACGGCTTGGTATTCGACAGATTATTCCCTGACTGTTCCTATTGAAATGTGGAATGTGACTGTACCACTAATTAGACGCGGTTGTATGTGTAGCAGCTCACTAGTAATGTGTAAAGATGTCCAGCATTTTTGGAATCATTTTAACTCTGTCAAATCTTTAAAGTAGCATCCGAATTTTAGGCCAACATAATGATTCTTAAGCTTGAACTCTTAAAATTCTGTTGAATGTTCAGAGTTGACACGCAGAATATTTCTTATTTCACTACAGTTTCTGTAATTAATATTCTTCACTTGCTCTCATGAGGCATATGGAAAACATATTCAAGTCGAATTTGATAGCATGATCTACCATGGATCTGCCATGTTAAATAACGCATCGGTTACTGGTCAATCATGAATCATACAAGTACGCTAAGTTCAGTCAGACATCATTTAACTGTTTTGAAGAGAAGAATTGAACAGTTGTATGATCACTTTTGATTATGTTAACATATTATATCCGGTATTTAATGATTTATATGATTAGAATTTGAGAAGCATTATACTGGACTCCGATGATGGCAGTGCCACATTAATTAATCATTGTCACAGATTTGGAGAGGGGCCAAACATGGATGATTTGATTAAAATAGGCAAGTATGGTTGAAAATGCTGCCGGTGGATTAGTTTCTAACTTCCAGTTCCCGTTCCAGTGAAATTGCAAGCTAATTAGAAATACAGGTAGCAATCTGCAGAATCTGGCAATATATATTTTAAATGCGCTGGGTGTATGAAATTAGAGTGAAGCTGGGGAGTGCAGTCCGAGTGAGCTAATAAAGGTCGTATCAGGGCACAATATAACTACCAGGTTGTCATGGTAACTTGAACTTGTTCCAGCACATATTTTATTGCTAAGTCACATTGCCCACCCGGTATTGAGAGTCTACTGATTTTATTTGAAATAAAATATACAACCAATACAACTGAGTACATTTTATCACATGATAATGGTTTGATGTTAAAACATATTATCCGTGTAATATCAGTTAAGGAGTAATTAATACACTAATTGGGAATTAATATTAAACCGAGGTTGGTAAAATGGATTTTATGCTATCCGTGATAATTTGGCAACAAATTGCGGTAAAAAAGGGCCAGAATAAATTGGAAAATGTATGATGCAATACATGGACTGTTTTTATAAATATGGTGTACAACATTAATCACATGAAACCGTTAATATTAACTACCACTTCCATACTCGCAATGACACGAAATGTATTTCGAGCACATGGCTACAGACTGAGTGGGCGCTAAATGACCTGCTCATTTAACGTGTTGTAACTACCAGCCCATGTTATCCAGCTGTTTTTACCAACTTTTACCGTAATTAACACTATCTCTGGATCTGGTTACAAACAATCGACTCTGTAGCTACAGTAAATACACTGAACGTTCACAGTCTTAACTTTATTAAAAACATATAACATTTACTTGTAATCTATTTACATTTTACATGAGGTTCGGATCGGATGAATATGACTATGCAGTTTATATTATGTAAAATAATTCATCCGGTTATAACTGAATAAATATCACTACACGTACAAGAGACTGGACAAGGCCTAATTACCATTTCGGTCAACCCAGGTTGAAATTGTAAACAAAACTAACCATTAAACAATTGCCATTATAAAAGATAAAGTGTTAGTTGCACAAACCTTGAAGTTAGTTCCGGATATCCATCTAGCAAGACCACCGCACATGGAGTCCCACTGAAAGGAACTACCGTCGAACACCTCATCGTTAGCTTCTGACAGAACAGTGAGCAGCTCCGAGCTAGCTTCCTGTCTCACGTACAGATCTGAGGACCATACCTGATTCTCCAGGTCCTCTAACTTGTCTACTATATTCATCTCATGGCAGCTTCCACCTTGCTAAATCTTAGAGATAAGGGGTTAGTTTCTTATTTGGATCGAAGTTTTAGCAAAAAGACATGATCACAGCTGTACATGATACATATTTCTTGTATATGTGGATTCTATTACTGTGTCATTTTAACATAACATGCTTGTGATTCAACTTATTTGGAGAATTGATAGTGTAATGGTGCCAATTAAAACAAAATCAATAAGTTCAGAAAGATACACAGAAAATTACAATAGTTTAATTGATCTATCAATAATACAACACTACTATATAACAAATAATTTGAGGAGGTTCTCTCAAGATGATTTTTAATTCGAAGATTTCAAGAGCCTAAACTGTGTATGATTCGCCTCTCCAAACAAATCAAAAGTTAATAATACAATCAATGTGATTAGAGTAACAATTAATTAATATAGTGAATAAGTTAAGAATTTATCTCTAATGTGTGTTTTAAAAAGATAGTGTAAACAAAGAAATAATAATTTTGTGAATATTATATATAATATATACTGCCCGAACTCTAACCGTATTGATAACTGAATTTACAGGCATATGAACTACAATCCAATTCAATTCCAGGTACTGCCAGGTACGCATAATATCACAGGGAGCGTATGTGCAACCTACATACCCTCACGTACATTGGAGTAAATTGCAGTAATACGACCCAATCTTACTGAGCTTAGATACTAAATTCGAGATTAGAAGAAATAGTAATATAGCTGGAACAACTTCCATTCTAAAACAACCACACCCACGATTCTGTGGCTTGATGTTTATTACTAGACGAAATTACAATTTATAAAACTTGCTTATTACAACTTAGTGATTTAAATGTATAGAATAAAACTAGGATCATTCACAAATTACAGAAGCAGCCTAAGGGGAGAGGGATTTAGAGAAAGTTTTCCTTATTGAAAGTTCTACAAAATTCCTAATTTCTATGCGTTAAAGTTTACGGACGGGGATATAAATGGGCAAATCTGGCAAACGTAATACGTATTGATTGAACGATCCTTTATGAAGCAAAATTTACAGGTCACCAGGTTATCTGCATATCAACGATCAAACACATCAAAACCAACAACATTACATGAAACATAAAACAGATAGATTATCTCGATAAATTTCCTGCCCTTGACACTTAAAAACTCACAAAAATAAAACTTTCGTGATAATACTCCCGCAACAACTACAATTTAAATTAATAATTTGTACTAGCATCTAATTTAATTAAAACTATAAACAATGTTCAAATAAACTCCAAGATCAGGAGCAATCATAGGCATCATACTTCTGGTTAGGTTTATGGCGTTTAGACGACCTACTTGATCTAACGGGTGAGGTTCCTCCCACTCTAGAATCATCTTCATCTTTTGACGTGTTTAAACTCCTGGCATTTTCTTTGTTATTTTTAGGAGGTGAAGGAGGAGTGTTGGCCAGAACAAACTTGTCATCACGATCCTCATCACTTAAATCACAAGATGTTCTCCTACGTTTAGTTGTTGTCTGAGAAGACTCTGATTCTTGTTGAGGAAATGAGAAGACGTGAGGCGATGTAAACTCAGGAGAGGTAGGAGGTGTGGAGAAGTGGCAGGAGTCGTCTACACTCGACTGGACATCACTTTTATCGCTAAACTCTATCGTGATTTTGCGAGAAAAGTGTGCTGCCAGTTGTTTCATTTTGTTTATTTTGGACAGCGGTCCCGCCTTCTTTTTCTTTGCTTTTCGTGGAGCTTCAATCCATTCAGGATCTTCACTGGAATGATAATCAAATGGAATCTTTTTGGAATCAGATTGATCTGAAACGTCCTCATTTTTCAAAATAACTTCATGAGCAACCAGCGAGTTTTCATCGTCTTTAAAACTATAAACATCAATGGGCTTTTGGTTTACAGGAGATAAAAAGACTTTCGATATGGATGATTGAGAAATGTTTAGATCACTATCCTCACCACTCGATGCAGTTGAATAACTATTTGAATTTGAGTTCCGAGCAAAAGACGCTGGCGATAAACTAAACTTGAGAAGAGATGCCGGAAGCTGCTTTCCCTCTTTAAAACAGCATTCAATTACTGAAAACACCGAATTAAGCACACGTTTCTTGAGGCGCTCTCGTCTTTCTGACATATGAACCAAGACTCTTGCTCGTTCCAGATCTTGGCGAAGTGAAACAAGTTTTAAAAACGGATCCAACTCATTGTTCTCTGCGTCATTATTCAGTTTTGATGACTTTTCTACAAGGTCACTCAATGGTGGTAAACTGATAGAGGGATTATTTCCGTTCAGTTTTCGTTTTTCTTTCCAATAGTCAAAAGCAAATTGGATTATACTGACATTGAAATCAAGAGCTGTAGACACATCTAAAACATCGACATATTCGTAGAATTCACTCAAAAGAGTTCTTGCTATTTTCGTCTGATTGCTGTAAAGAGGGTTCAGTTTATCTTTCCTGCACAACGGTAGCACAATAGAGTTCATAGAGGAAGGTTCTCGAAACTTTTCTGACGAGTGCTTCAGACAGTAAGCAAAGTTTTCAACAATCTCTGGCTCCTCGGGAGTGCCATAAGTTGTCATCATATGAGATCTATTTGAGTAAGCACATGAGGGATGGAAGGGCACAAAACAACCTTTCATAGAACACTGGATACAAGCCCCTACTCTTTCTTGACAAAAGCAACATGACAACGACCACCGATTTGTGGGAATTTGTTTGATTTTCGTTATCGGTTCCATCTTTTCGATATTTCCAAATCCTACTTCAGGTATCCACAGTGCACAAAATATATGAACCCATTCTCCCTGCTGGGCCAGTTTAAAGGCACCTTCTCCCTGCATACACAGTAAACACACAGGAGTGGAGCAGTCTGCTTTACAAGGCGCACAGTACCACTCTCCTTTTGGGATTTTAGGGACGCCATAGCAGCTTTGATGAACACATATGTTACAGTTGTCACAGAAAATCATATCATTGTCAGGTTCACTATAAATATCTTTGCATACCTCACAGTACACTGAATCATCATACTGTATGCTGTATGTTATGTTCTCTTGGTATTTTGTAAACATATTGACGTGGCAAAGAGTGTCAAGATAAGTGAAGATAACTTCAAAGTCAATTTCAGTAATATTGTCTTTAGAGTCTTCTACAGAGTTGATTGAAGCTAGAAATGAAATGTCGTCTTCGTCCATATCATAGAGTGGTTCAGGAACTTTCCCATTCATCACTTCATCTATCACATCAGCTTCAGGCTGCCATTTGTAATAACTCTCAGGCAAGGTCCAAATGTTGTCCTCATTTGAGCTTTCAAGCAGCTTAAAATCTGGCTTTGGTAAGCTTACTATATCAACGGGAACCTGGACTCCTTTATCATATTCCTGTTTCCATGCATCTGCAATCTTTATGAAATGATCATCAAGAACCTGCTGGTCAGGTATCTTCATGGCTGTTATAAAATCTGTCCGATACATTTCTACAGGTTTGGTCTCTTGGTTCCAGGTGTTGTTAAATATCTTTTTGCTGTCTTCCCAACACAAGTTGAAGGCACCAGATTTCTTGGTTTGTCCATGGTTATTGTTACTTGTAACAAATTCATTGGTCATACTGAAATATGAGTTTGTTAAATATTTCAGCATTTTAATAAAACATAACTGCATCACTTTACCTTTGGATAGTTAGGAAGAAAATCCATACTTAGCTCGTTCTACAGAGTTGGCACACTTGGCAATGATAACCATGATAGAGTCAAGCAATACCTACATAACATCCGTAGGCGTAGAAGAGTACAGAGCATTACCTTGGTTGGTGATTTGAATATGCCCCAGGTCAGATGGGATGAGGGCTCCTCCTCTGTTCCTATTGAACAAGCATTCATTGATACGTTTAATGATTTATCTTTACAGCAGCTGGTAACAGACCCTACACATTACAGGGGAAATGTTCTAGATGTAGTTTTGACGGATAAGCCAGAAATTATATCAGAATTAATTGTTGACAGTAAACATGGTATTTGTGGGTCGGATCACTATGCGATAAGATTTGACATAAGACTTAACGCTAGAAAGAAAAAGTCTACCAAACGAAAAATCTATAGCTTCAAAAGGGCCAATTGGACCAATTTAAATAATGCACTGAATTCTGAAAACTGGGAACATCTACTAAGTGGAAAACCAGTCGAAGAGGCCTGGTCAGTTTTTCAATACTATTTTCACTTCTCATTGTAATTCACATATTCCTAAGATATCTGTCTCCGATGAATTTCAACCCCCATGGTTTGACTCAGATGTCTTTGATTTATGTAGAAAAAAGGAGCGACTACATGACGAATGGAAACAGTCTTCTAATCCAAAAAAATATTTAAAATTTTCCAAAGCTAGGAGGGATTTTAAAAATCTCGTTGATGCAAAATTGGACGCAAACTTTGAAGATGATGATAACAGAAATCTCATTAACAAAAAGTTCTGGTCTTTTGTGAAATCTAAATCAAACTCTAATCGCATTCCTGAAACAGTCAGCTACAATGGTTGCCTACGGTCCGATCCGCAGGGACAGTGTGAGTTATTCAATAAATATTTTAACGAACAGTTTACAGAGGGTAGTGATTATGATATAAATATCGACTTTTCCAGTGACCGTGATTTTCAGGTCAATTTCGACACTTGTAAAATCAAAGGTTTACTTGAAAATATTGATCCAAGTAAAGCGCAAGGGGCCGACAATATCCATGGAAGAATTTTAAAGTACTGTTCAGTGAGCCTGTCTAAGCCTCTTGCCATCCTTTTTGAAGCCTCTTATAAAACCGGATGTATTCCAGCAGATTGGAAAATGGCAAACGTTGTTCCAGTTCATAAAAAAGGCTCTAAAATTGAAGTTAACAACTATAGGCCAATCTCTCTGACAAGCATTATTATGAAAATTTACGAAAAAGTAATCCGGGATGAATTGCTCAATCGATGTGAACATCTTATTGATCAACGTCAACATGGTTTTATGAATAGGAAATCATGTACAACTCAGCTAGTAAATTTCTGTGACAGCTTAGCCCTATCTCTCAATGACAATGTTCGCACTGACATAATATACTTTGATTTCCAAAAAGCTTTTGATTCTGTCAACCACGACATAATTCTGTTGAAGCTCAAAGAACAATATAACATTGATGCATCTCTACTGAGATTCTTCAAGTGCTACCTTGAAAACAGATACCAAAGGGTTGTCATTGGAAATAAAATGTCTGCTCCCTGTCAGGTTAGATCAGGTGTCCCCCAGGGCTCAATTTTAGGGCCTACTTTATTTATACTTTTTCTTAATGACATTACAGAGGATTTGTCACCGGAAACAAATATAACCATGTATGCTGATGATACAAAAATATGGCGTAGAATCACGTCCCAGGATGACCATTGGCTGCTCCAGCGGGATATTAACAGTCTTCAAAATTGGGCTCATCATAATAAGATGGTGTTTCACCCCTCAAAAAGTCACGTTCTTTCTATTACCCGAGCATATTCTATGAATCGTAGTGTTAATTTTGTGTACTCAATGAATGAAACGGCTATCGAATACACAGACATTGAAAAAGATCTTGGAGTTCATATCAATAGTAAGTTAGATTGGTCACATCACTGTGATATGATATACTCTAAGGCTAGTCAGAGGTTAGGCCTTCTAAAAAGAACATGTTACTTCACCAAGAACACTAAAAAACGTCGGGCCTTCTATCTATCTCAGGTTAGAAGTCATTTCGAACACTGCACAATTGTCTGGCGGCCTCATTCAGAAACCTCGGTGGAGAAACTTGAATCGATACAAAAAAGAGGTATCAAGTGGATCCTTAATGATATTTACTTGAGCCTTAGGGACAAAAAAAGGTATTTCATAGCGTGTAAGGAACTAAATATCCTTCCACTCTCGGTAAGGTTTGATTACAAGGATATATTATATTTTCATAATATTTTTTATGACATATCAGTTGTGACATTTCCACCTTACTTACGACGTTTCATGGGAAGTAGGTTAAGGCGATCACATCTAGACGATCTCAGTATGATTAGTGACATTTCTCCTCAAGTTCCACAAAACCTTACGTCAAGCCAGACCAGATGTTCAGGCATATCTAAGTCTTACTTTTACAGAGCGCACATTCTTTGGAATAAACTCCCTTATAAATTAAGGGAAATCTCAAGGCCATCCGTGTTTAAAACCCATTTAATTAAGTACCTCTGGACAGTTCTAAACGACCATATAACATCTTCTGACAGTTAAACAATTTACCTAAACTTTCACGATGATCAGACACACAAACTTAATGTAACTATATTATCGACTTAATGTAACTATATTATCGACATATAAATTGATTTAAAGTATAATTAATAAAATATGTTCAATAAAGCGTGTTTATAATTATGATTTATGGTACATTGTTATTTATCATATTTATATTTTAGGCTGTAACCTTATTAGTTCAATGGAATAAACCTAGCATGCCTTGGTTGCAGCATCGCTTCACTTATAGGTGCATATAGGGCCCGATGTAATTGCTATGATCAGTTTACTGGTCAACTGGTGTTTCGGTGTCCCTAATTTTGTTTACACTCGGTCACTTGTCAAGGCATGTAAGGTCATTCGGCGATATTTTCTTTGAAATAAAATGATGTATTTGTGTAACAATTTGAAAGTTTATTGATAAAAAAAAAAATGCTTTTAGTGACAGTGGTTTGAATGCTCTTGGTTTGAAAATCAGTGAACCAGAAGAAATTCAATGAAACTAACACGAGATTTGATTTGAAACAATAAAAACAACAATAAAACATCCATTAAAACAACAATAACAATGAAATCTAAAATTAGCAACGTGCATGTCTGAAATAGCTACAGTATAAAAACAACCAATTTATTAACATCTGATATAATATCTAAAAATGAACCAAACATGACATTTACTAAAAATTAAAAATTCTATTTGTCACATTTTAAAACTTTAAAAAACGATTATCATTACATTTGTCATTATTTGACACATTTATTCCTTTAATTAACTTGATTGTAAGCAACTTGAAAGTTACTACAAAGTAGATGACATGAAAATGACATGAAAATGAGCGAACAGCTTTTAATTACAATTTATGATATAGTTTGGAATAAATTAAATTCACCTTTTATTCGTGTTTTGTTTGAAAAGCTTACTAAGGCTCACAAAAAATGTGGTTAATTAGATTGAAAAATATATATCATAATCTCATATATATATCTAGGGTTTATGCCAGTACAACATGATATAACTTATTCAATATTGCCCTTTTCTGGTTGAATATAATACCCATCACCCAAAACCACAACCTCAGTAAGACATAGAGGTGCTTTGGTATCCAGCTTTATTTCCACCCTCCTGCCATGAACGATTCCTTCCATAGGGATATGATACCATCCAACGCTTCCCTTCTTGTACTCTATCGTGTGTATAAGTTGGGAGTCAAGGTATACTTTAGCTTTGTCTATTTTGTTAGCTTGTTCAAGTCGGCTCAGTATATTAATCTCAAATATTCTGTAGCTCTGAGTAAGATCAACATACCACCAAGCTAACGAGCCGTCTACAGAGGGGTCTGTTTGAGTGGTATTACCATTAATAAATCTTGGATCTTCAATTCCATTGACAGCTCTGTTGGGTTCTCCGTTATCAGCTACCGATGATTGGTAACAAGATCTTCCCACAGCTAGGTCTCGGAGAATAGTGCTTTTCTCACCAGTCCCAAAGACTTCAACTTGGGCCAAGGAGAGAGGTTTACCAGAAGTAAGTAAAACAGATACTATAATGGCGCAGGAGGGTCAACCTGAAAAGAACATTGCTTGACCCTCCTGCCCCACCGCATGGATCAGGAGGTTCATTTCAGAAACAGTGCTTGACCCTCCTGCCCCACCACATGGATCAGGAGGTTCATTTCAGAAAAAACAGTGCTTGACCCTCCTGCCCCACCACATGGATCAGGAGGTTCATTTCAGAAAAAACAGTGCTTGACCCTCCTGCCCCACCACATGGATTACGGGGGTCATTTGAACCCACAAGACCATGTGCACTTATTTCTACATCGCGCGCGATACGTGTGTGCGTGATTACATGAAATCTTACCGCGCCCTACGCCAAGTAGACGAAAAGCGTGGTCGAAGAGCGAGAGTCGGTACAATAAATAAAACGAGAGTTGGTACATTTAACTGGCATTTTTTAACCGTGGTACAATCAGAATTGCATACAGCCGACACAGGATGAGGGGGGGGGGGGCAATGACTACTGATGGAGACTTTTGAGCACCAATGGGGACGAAAATCATAGGGACTGAAGGTCAAATCGCTGGTGAAATTTTCCATTTGTCCCCATAAGTACCCAAAGTTTTGGCGAGTTTTATGTAGTTTTGATATTATCTTTTATTAAATGACTTCTAAAGGAGACTTTTGGGTACCAATGGGGGCTAAAAATCTTGGAGACTTGAGGTTAAATTGCTGGCGAAATTCTGCACTTGTCCCCAAAGTCATTGGCTCCCCCCCCCCTCCCCCGGGTGAGGTGACGGAGAAAAATAAACTGAGCTCAAGGCTACATTTCCAGATATCCCGCCAGGGCACCGTC